GTCAACCAGGAAGTAGCAAAACCCTGGCTTCATTTTCTCAGTGCAGAAACCAACGGGTGACGTCACGGTAGCTACGTCCATCTTTTATACAGTCTATGTTTTTGACACTGTTGAACATAAAACACAGCTCAAATTACTTTACTTAATCTAGAGCTGCGTCTAAAAATTTTCTTCACAATCAGCTAGTTGTTTAACCTGTATAACATAAGCAAATAGTTTCAAATGTCAGTCGCAATTTTCTACAGGCAAAGGTGATTTTGTCAGGAGTCAAAGATCCGACAGAAAATACTGGGCTGGTTGACTGTAAAAAATACTGAACGATTATCAATTATCAAAGTAGTTATGTATCTAGTAATATATCCATCTACTAAGTTTTTAATATCAAATTTACATTTAAAAAAGTATTTACACATAAATAATTTAAAGAGAGTATGGTGGCAGCATAGAATCAGTATGTTACAGATACGATGGCAGCCTTATCTGCGTCTTTGAGTCATGTTTGTAAGAGATGTCAGGATGTTTCTATATTTCATTGTGTTTTGTGGATATTTGGGGTATTGTGAATAGTGTGTGAGAAAAATGGGTTATTTGTATGTGTGTGGGATTTTTGTGCACATTCAAAGCTGATTGTATCGTACATGTTTTTGAGAACAGGTCGTGGAGATGTATGAGGTTAGTGTAGTCATGCACGACATCATATCCTGTTCAGAGCTGCAACGATTATTTCAACATTTGATCAACTGTCAACAACTAAATTAACAGCTGTTTTAATTGTTTAAGCTATATTTAATTAAAAAAAAAATCTAAATTCTCTGATTCTAGGTCTTTATATTTTAATTATTGTCCTTTTTTTTGCCTTATCTTTGGGATGTGAACATTTGTGGACGTCATTTACGGCGTTAGACTTCAAAATTTTTCAGCTTCTTCTGACATTTTGTACACAAACTAAAACAACTAATGTTTTAATCTGGAAGATAATCAACAGATTTATTGACAATGAAAATAGTATCAGACATGTCCTGAGAAAGTCACAAAGATTAGTGCGCCGTGGACTGATATATTTGACATGTTTTAATTTTTACATAATCAAAGCTGATCAAAATCTAAGGTCGTCTTCAACTTCCCCACCAGTCAGTACCTGAAATGAATACACAAGTGTCTAAATTAAGACATTGAAATTGTTGAAATTAAAATGAAAACATAACCTAAAAGTATAACAGTGCTTGCCTTTACCACAGAAGGGTGTAGGGTATTTCCCTATTACAGTGACGTATGTGGTTACTCGACCTCTACTGTTTCAGTATTTTCTTCTTGTGGGAACAGAATACAGGCATAGACCCGAGCTCCTTATTAACAGGGCTACCGACTAGAATAATAGTTTGTATATGTTTCTTTGAGCGATTAATAATTAACCTACAAACACTTGACTCCACAATTTAGAAAATGTTGCCACCTTCTTTAGAAGGACTGCACAATTAATCAGTATTATTACAATCATGATTTTGTCTTTCTTTGACTGTTATTTTGAAAAGGGCCCGACCGATTTATCAGCTGGACGATTAAATCAGCCGATTATAGCCATTTTCAAAATAATCATAATCGGCTGGAGTTTTGCCGATTAATTACAGATATATTCTTAATTTCTCGCAAAACAGTAAATGCTGTTAAATGTCACAGTTGCTTTCATACATTCAATTTGTACAATTTGATTTGTAAAAGGCAAATATTCTCCAAGGCAAAAGCATGTTAAAAAAAAAAAAAAACACTTCAGCAACACCACAAGAAGCTCAGTTTTTGCTGCTTCTTGTTGTCAGCAAGTCAAACTTGGCTCACAGAGATGACGTCGAGTTAAGATAGTTTACGAATGTTCAGCGGTAAGATCCCTCACTCTGCCACAAAGTCTGAAACCAAAACAGCGCACAGAGCTTCACTCTGACGGGTTTTTAGAGAACTACAGAAAACACCTTTCTAAACCTTTTATCCAACTTTTTAACTAACTTGCATTTTTATTAACTTATTCTCATCAACTTTAAACACAGCACAGTCTTTGAGAGAACAGAACATCAGAGGGCTGCATAAATAATATTCTATTAGTAACTTCACTCATTGTGTTGCTTATATACAGCACACCCTGATGGCCTAATATAAAAAGATAAATTCATCAGTACATCTGGTAGCTATATTCATGCTCCATAGGAAGAAAAATGCACAATGCAAATTTAAAATAAAATACCACCATTACAGACATATTAGTTTGGAAAACTTATTTTTTTTACTGATGCATGTTATGTTTAATGCTTTGTTGCATGTTTTTGTGCTTGAAAAATCCTCTCTGTTGTAAAGTTAAACAAACACTAAAGGACAAAGTATTGTGAAACAGCAACATCTTCTGCCTGTGATTCATATCTTTGT